AGTGGTGGAAAGAAGACGTTTTCTTTGAGGGGGGGTTAAGGAAGAGTTTGACAGGTGTTAGCACCCCCACCCCCCTTTTCTTACCTTGTGAACATTTGCACGAGTCCCTTAACAACATCCCAATCCTAACAGCCCAGCAACGATTTACTGTCAGAGAGGGCAAAAACTAAAGACTAAGCAAGGACAGAGAAGCAAGCAGAAACAACGACGTGCAGTCTGGTGCTTCATGCAGTGACACTTTCACTCCCATCAAAGCCACCCGAATCACCAGAGCCGAACTTCCACACACAGTGGTGACAGAAGTCCGTACGAAGCCAGAAATGCCAAGCGGCTGCAACCTTCAGCGAGGACCAAGCAGCAGTGGACACCAGCATGTGGAACTAGAAACATGCAGGGAGGCCTCCACCAGAGCCCGAGTTACCTGTAAGGCCCAGCAGAGGTCAGCGGGTCACATTAGTGTAAATGGGCCACACGTCCTAAGAGTAAAAGATAAATGTATTTGCAACATCTATCAGCTGTACGTGACTCAGGTGTCCTAAACCTGTGTGATGGATGATTTAACTGCATCGCTTTTACTTAGTGGTATTGTGATTCAGGCTAGGTCACGGCCGAGCCTCTCTCGGCATCTGAAGTAATTGTTGCCTGCTGTTCCAGTAAGGAAGTAAAACTGAACGAAACCTCAAAGTAAGCATTTGTGAATTTGACTGAGTGGAAACAGCTTTTTAATGTCAGTCTGTGTTTTTCCTTAACCTGACCTGAGACAAGTGCACATTTTTTAAATGAGAACTTATGTGCACAGAGTATGAAAACATGTGAGATATGTGATGTTTTCTGTTCTTTACACAACAGTCTGTGGGAGAAAAAACTAAAATATCTACCATCGTCATGTTTTAAATTCTGGTAAAATAAACAAATTAAAAGTAGATCTGAAAGGAATTTAAGTATTTTTAAGAAAAATACATTTGCATTGTACAAATACAATACAAGCCTGTAGCCTTGGATACATGCTGTAGTGCAGCAACTAAAAACAAGCTGTTATCTCGAGCTACAGATGTGTGCGACGCCACACCTCAAATTTGATGCAACACACTTTTTTGGACACATTACAACAATACCAAAAGGAGCCTTCGCTGAAAACCCACAGCTTGAAAAGGTGGAGTTCATAAACAGTAACATATCATCCATCGAGCTGGGAGCGTTCGAGGGACTGAAAAATATTGAGGTCTCCGGCAGTGAATTAACGTCACTCCCAGTAAGAGTCTTTAACGACCTCAGCAACATGGAGGAGCTCTTACTCAAATCTAACAAGCTTCAATGCTTGATAAAGGTTTGTTTGAAGGCCTTAAAAAACTAAGACACCTCCCGTTGCATTTGAATGAAATTAAGTTGATTGAAGATGAGACATTTGACGGTCTTGACAACCTTTTAATGC